GTGAAACCAATTTCGTTCATATAATGTAATTCAAAATTTAAAACGATTCATTCCATATAATTGAATATGGTGTGTTATATTCATTTTTTTTATATGTTTTATTGATGRATGTGATTTAAAGTTAAAAATAATATATTGCTTTAAAAAATGAAAATAATGTCATTAATATCTAGAAGAATGTTACCAAATGTTAAATTTTGTTTACCATTTTTGTCCTTACTGTTGAAATAAAATAAATTTTTAATATATATATATTTTTTTAATTTCCTAAAATAAAGTAAACTAATCTTGACCATTGATCAAGAAAATGGATGGATAAGATTGGTTTACACGATTTACACAAATGAAACAGGTTTTTATTTGAACGCTCCTATATATATATATATATATATATATATATATATATATATATATATATATATATATATATAACGTACATGACCAATTACAACAAACACAATTGACGACATCCACAATTATCAGTATCCATCAAAACTAGTTGCATTCACATTGTGGAGCCTCCTGCTTAGGTGTGAAAGAATTGAAATCAGGAACCATCAAAAACAAGAATGATTGAATAAACGGTAACGTATTGTTTTCGTCCAATCAATTGATTCTTGACATTGATCTACTTGTTTTTACCTCATTAATTATTTTTAGATTGAAAATTTTCATGTCTCGGGGTCTCGTCTTGAGAGGTTATCGTTCATACGTCAACACCACCAATACGTTTGTCAAGATGTATTTGTCATTATGATTAATTGTTTGTGATTGAATTGGAGTTTATCGTGCACACTGACAAATAGTTGTTCACGGGAACCTGATTATGTTCCTACAAGAACCGGTTCTTAAGAGTTTTGGGTTATAAACAAGCTTTTCATCCTTCATACTTTTAGACGGGGTCGTTCCAATCTTTTTGTAGGCTCTATTACATCCGTACTATAACTATAAATTAATAATAAACAAAATAAAATATAAAATTTTATATCATATTAAAATCTTATAAATTACAAAGTGAGAAGAAAGTCAAAGAGTCGTTTTTGCTTTTGATCGGCAAATTTTAAGATTAAATTGCCGCTTTTGATTTTGAAAAAATTAGATATGTTTTCTTTGAGGTGGATTCACATGTTGGATTATATGAATACAGGCCCCAACTGCACGTAAATTTGGGCCTCAAAGTTTTGTGGGCGCAGTTTAAAAACTAAGATTTAACATGTTAATAGATTGTCCGGCTCTTATCTTGCGTTAACGGTTAACCATTGTTGCTTCAATCAACACGACTGATTTGGTTAGCATCGATATGTTTACCTAGGGGACTGATCTGATTGAAGGTGCTAACCCGAGCACCTACCTGGTCTATTTTTTTTTATTAATCTTAAGACAACCACCTACTTTACAGATAGCCCAGAGTCACCACATTTGAATCTCCTTAGCCACAAGAGAATTTTTATTTCTCATTTGATTTGAATCTAAAACCTCTAGGTACTTTTGACCTTTGGCTACCTTGTCTATATTATTATTTCACTACCAAGTCAGTTTACCCGGTAAGCTTTTTACACAAAGTTTAGACCAAATTCAATAGATTATAAACAGAAATCAGCAATCACAATGTTCACATTAAACCCTAACTTAAAGCAAACACAATCCAGAAAGAAACAATACCAAACTAGCGTGATTATGTACAGATAGATTAACCAAGCTGAAACGTAGCTTGTTACATAGAACTCAAAACGACAGTACACCACATGGATCGAGTTTCATAGAACTCGAAGAACTGTACTCATAGAAGAGTCAGGTTATTGAGGAACTGCTTTTGAAGCGAATCAGTATTGGAATACCGTCTGAGTTTTGATCTGCGTTTCTTGATTTCGATGAGTTTGTCGTGAACGCACCACGGGAAACTCAGGAAATGATCTCGTGTCATATCCTCATTGTATCGACCCCAGTAATCAGGATGATAGGTGACATGATACCAAGCCGATGCTTTTGCATAAACATCGTCATTTTCAGCATCCGATTCTCCTCTTCCACTCCTAAACCATTTCCTAGCTTCCTTCCTCAAGGACTTCACGGCTAAACCGACCACTTCAGCATCGTTCCTCCTGTCGAAAGATCTCGACATTTTCATGATACTCCCACTGAGTAGTTCGGCTTCGGTCTTGATGCCGTAGTAATCCATCAGATTACCCAACTTGTAATCGTATTCGGTTTTGAAATCAAATGCTTCATCGAGGTATTCCTCAAAGCCGTGTACTTCCATTTCAGCATCATATGTTTGAAATGCCACGACCCTCGTAAACGGACTGACGGGACTGTCTTGTGGAGAGATGTCTTTCACTTCCCGGAAGAGCTTCCCGATCACATTTTGTGATTCATACGTGGTTTTATTGGGCTTTTCCATGAAATCCGGATACTCCTTCACCCGGAGATTTGCCGGTATCACCGCGGGAACCCCGGTCTTTGGGAAGTCCACAGCAATTGAGAACAGCTTTGCAAGCTCTACACAAGGTTCGGCCATTGCTTTCGTGGGTTCCCTGTCTGCAAAGACTGTGTGGGCATTCGCAATGATTCCTAAGCTGTCATTGACTATATAGTTCGTGAAATACTCTTCGACTTCCTGCAGTAGATAAAACAGAAACAAGATCCTAAAAAGACGAGCATTCATAAAACTTATTACAGAAACTTCGAGTTAGAGGGCTGACACATATCTAGTAAAGTCTCTGTACCTCAATAGTAACATCGTGATCCAGTTGCACACTTGGTGCTGGAGTATAATCCATTGGTTCGATTTGCCTAGGCGGAATTAGATCAGGGTCCCAACAGACAAAGTAAATATCTCCATCCAAATCACTTCCTGAGCATTCATTTGGATGAGGCCTATAGTCATGCTCACATGTGGTTTTGGAAATATGTTAGCACCAGGCGAACGGAGCATAATCATACAATATTACTGTGCAAAATATCCATAAAATAAAAATATATATCGGCAGTCATTAAGAGATACTACTGCTGCAACTAACATATATTCAACGAAAATGCATAATGTTTAGGGTAATTTGACATGTAATTTACCTTTCAGGAAAAAAAAATGTGGTTATTTGAATGAAGAAAACCATAATCAAGTTTACACAAAGCCAAGCAGATCAAGAATGAGCGAAGGAGAATACAGAAAAGAAGAATATGCATAATTTTACCTGTGTCCTTTCTGTGGAAAAACAACACAATCCACCATATGGCGCAATTGTGGAACGTCAACAGCCCTCAAGACTCGTACATCACCAGGATGCAAACATGGGTTTTTAGCAACCACGACTTTCCCAGTAACAATTCTGCAACTGTTTGAGCTGCCTCCACTAAAATCATCACCCAGAACCCTTCTTCTTGAACAAGAAAATTGCACAAATACTTCCCCATATGCAAGTGTTCGGGTTTCATCCAGGCATCCCATCATTGATCTTCCCCTAGGAACAAATATCCTCGCTTTAGTACGCAATTCCAACAACTTTGTTGCACGAAAAACTTGCAGCATCATTGAGAGAAATGGTTCAGCATTAGGCTTATATCCACACGCCAGCATTTCCTTGAGAATGTTGGTGTTCTCTCCAGGAGACATCAACTCTAATGCCTCTTCTGCCTTCATCGGCTCMCTTAAGATAGCATTGAGTAGGTCTACTGCTTCTTTTTGCTTCTTCTCAAAGACGTGATCCCTAACCCCAAGGGTAGAAAGAAGAGTTATGATCTGTCGATTCATATAGCAAGGTTGATACTTGCTTATTGCAAGAACATCTAACTTTGTGTTGTCTGAGTCAAACTTGCACATGCTCGTTCTCAATGACAATTTCTTTGATGAGGTTGGATCTATAGCCACGACACCCTTGTACCCACCATAACGAATTTGAAAGGCGGATGGAATAAAGTCATAGCCACATTTAAKGGAAACACGGCTAGCAAATTCARCAGATATTTTCCCAATTCCATCAGAAAAAACATATTTRGTACCGCCTCTAACAACTTCTATATCAGGAATTTTTTCAACTTCATACGGTGCAACACTTAAGCTTTCCTTTGATGAACCAAAAGATTGACCAAGCCTAGCAGCGTATTTGGCAACGTTTTTTATACTATTAAACTTACCCATCCACTCCCTTATATCAGCAGCAGTAAGTGTATTACTTGAAGCAAACATCCATGTGGAATTATCCCGTAACTGACTTGATGAGAAAGCAAGAAATTCGAACTTCTTACAGCCGATAACGATGCCATCCCTAAGAATTGACAAAATCCTTTTATAAATGCCAGTTCTGCTTTCCTCACTTCGATTAGTGGCACGAGGGACCAAATCTGTTGAATACAGCTTCTCCAGTTCCTCATCAAGAAATGATACACGAAGAAAATCATCAATATATGTTGCAAAATTACGTAAAACACGATTAGACACATTAACCTCTGGCCCACARAAATACACCTTTGATGGTGTAATTTGAACCCTCCTGACATATACAAGACCAGCATCTAATGAGATAGTCGGCGTCCTTAACCTATTGTTTCTTCTGTATTCCTGGGTTATCCACCTTACAGGATCATAAATACAATCTTTTTGATATAAGAGTTTATCCAGAACATAATCAATGGAGGCAATGTCTCTTCTTGCTGGATCCAACAACTCAAAGAAATTAGCATCAAGAACTGGCCCCGGGATGCAACCATGCTGAACCAAGGAGCAGACCTTAAAAATTATTTTATATGGCAGATTTGAACCCCGGGCAGGACCCACTATCGGAACTAGATCCAAATTCTGAGAAAAACTATGACCAGTCACCAAGTTAAATGGACGATTACTTTCTTCATAATATGGAAAGTAGCGACCAAGGTTTGGGATTTCAACACCATGGGAAAGCTCCAAACATAGATGAGAAGATTGTCCAATGGAGAAAGATGGAGAAAAGTCAGTTGCCCTAACCCACTGATCATCAGGAATTTCCCTATAATAGTTAAAAATGTTGTCTTCAACTTTCTGAGAAATTCGAGGGGCACCATATAGCTACAAAATAATAGAGACCTTGATTCAGTCACTAAACAGTTTTAAAACAGCAGAAAAGAAATAGAACTTTGCATCCAGATGTGAAACATATCACATTGATCTTAATTACGTAATTCAAAATCTATACAATGTTGTTTGGCATACATTCTCATCATGCTAAAGTCATCTATTCGTCCCGCTTTCTTTTGATGGTGCCATATATCTAAAAAATAAGAAAACTAGTCATACCAATTGACATGATACAGAAGATAAAAGAGGGGGAAGAGGAACCAGAGGATACAGCTTTACCCAAAAAAAAAAAAGCAAAGGATACTAATACACTGAGTAAATATACACTTTGAAGGGCAGCAATAGCATCTATATGTTTCCCTTACAAAGCAATACTTTAGTTTATTAATACACTTGTAGCTTAGATGGTTAATATGATTAATCAAGAATCATTAACTTAAAGAAATTTTCAAGAAAATGTTAAAGTAAGATTACTTAACAAATAATACAAAATGATAGATAAACACATTTCGATAGAGATGATTAAGACAATTGGAAGATTTTACTTAAATTGCATCACTTGTTGGGCTCTACTTACTCACCGGAAAGCATATTGCAGACATCAGCCATACAAAAGTTAATAGAATGTTTTTATGTATTAATGTGGAATCAGTTCTCAATCAACTAATCCACATTTGCACAAGAGCAGTCACATCCACATAATGGTTTGTGTAAGAGAGTTATTGATTTGACACTCGCTTTTAATCTAAGGCGTCAGTTGGAATGTGGTTGATAGCAATATGTTGCTTCCAACTTAATACCTGAAAATGAGTAGTAAATGCAATAACAAACCAAAAAGACACAGGTACGTGACACACTAGAATTACACATTGGGAGGAAGCTATCGATCTTTGATTTCCATGTAGGAGCAGAACATGACCAGAACCTAACACTTTGTGATTCTCATTTTTCTTATAAACAGAGTAGCAGAACACAAAGATATGAAGCTAAGAACCCATGAGAGGCTAGTATATCGAAGATCTGTGGTGTACGACTCCATGACCAATTAGGAGCCCAAAAGCCTTTGCCTTCTTTCTAAGTACTATAGCCTCAAGCCTCTAAGATCGTAAATTTAGGATTTTTTGGTGTGAGTGTGAAACTACCTAACAAGGTGACGGTAAGAAAAAAGGAGATTAACCACATAAAGGGAGCATTAGATGGAAAAAAAAACTCTAAAACTTCAAAATGCTAAAACCTTCCAACTCACAAATAAGGGGCTTTATACCTTTGCAGTTTATAGGTCAATGCTTATATATTTTTTCCTGATCCATAAATAAACAATGATAAAAAAAAGCAATCACCAATTATAAGGAAAAAGTAAAGCCATGGTGGCTTACCAGAGATTGTTTAACAAAATGTGAGATCTCCATGATTTTCTTTTCTCAATMTCAGATTTTTCAAAAGAAGGTTTTGCTTTCTTTAGCATACTTACTACCCTATGTTGCATGGGTCTGGGTGTGCCGCTGCAGGTTCAAGATTCAAGGAAACGTAGGTTATTCAGATAATAAAAAATGTGCATACAGCATGTGGGAAATAAGTATCACTGGGTGTATATAGAGGGGTTTTGATATGATACTTCATGGTTCAAAAGAACCAAGGTTCCCAAAGGTTATGATATGTATTATTATTAATTTGCTAATGCTTTTGAATTATCTTTTTATTGTCTGTTTCTCATTTTAACATTTTTTGTAATTCCATGAACTAAACAAAACCATAAGGATGGAAATTCAAGATTTTCTTTTTAGTCCACACCCTTCCGGTGGCTTCTTTCTTCTAACTTTCTTTTTTATTTTCCACCCATGAACACTCCAAAAACTAATAGAGGTGATTGTAATAACAATAACAACAGCAATAGCATTTGTAACACAAGCTCCTGAAAGGTTTCCATGGTTAACGATATAGGAAAGGACCTGAAAGCAGTCCTGGTACCAACATCCACTACCTCAAAGTATTGCTTGATAACAGAAGATAGAATCAACAGGTGTAAGGTACCTTTAACTCAAATTCATCATTGAAGTGCCTAAACTCTTGCAATAAATAAAACACTAACTCACTAAGACAACATCATGTCATGCAAACCTCTATCAAGAAAACAATGTTTCAACATTCACCCACCCACAACCGACCCGCATTTGCTTGCCAAGACAAATAGAATATTCAAGCATACAAACTGTGACAAGAACTTCCTGAAGAAAAGCTAGCACCATCATAGATAAAAATTTGCAAGAAACCAAAGGACTCACATTTATTTAAGTCCCAAGTTCAACCTGGGAATCAAAGGGCCTTTGGCCTTGCAGTATGCGAGTCTTTGACCTCCTAGGAGGTCAGGGGTTCAAACCTCACAAAAGGTGAGGAGGGTGTGTGAGTTTATATGTTCTATTTGCCATATATAAATATTATATACTTAAAAAAAGTTCAGCCTGGGATTCTACTGTCTTCATAACAACTAACTTTCGCTAGCAGCATAGTTAATTATATTGGAAGTGTTACCAACTGAGTATAAAAATCTCAAAATTCGTGACAATGTAGCACTAGTATCCACAAGTAAAATGATCCACATGTAGACAAAAGATGGAGAAGACAAAGGGACAAAGACACATCAATCTAAAACAGATAATATATTTATGACGTAATTGTTATGCACAAACTACACATACGCAGAGCCATAATCTGACTAAATCATTTGAAAATGGAAATTGATAAATGGTTTACCAATGCAGAGCCAACTTTAGAATGAGCATGGAAGATTCTTTTTTTCTAGAAAGAACTCCATAATTCACTCAACAACATAGTCGGTCAATTAAACTAACCTGAATAACAAGAAAACTTGCGGCAAGGCCACGTGGACGATGTAGCTGCACTTGCCAGATATTATCATATGAGAGTTGCAGCTTGTAAGAAATGGTGGGATATGAAACATTAAAGTATAACCTCCTTAGTCCAAACCCAAATTTCACTACTGAATTTCGCATTTTACAGAGCACTTGCAAAGTCTCCTTTGAAACCTGGCAACCAAAATGAAGGGTTATACCATCCATGTCCAAGGCAAAATGCCTAGGCTTTTGAACAATGTCAGTATCCACTTCCCAAGCCTTCAAATAAGATGAACCATACCACAAACGCTTACGACTAGCCAGGTCCAAAATGTAATCTACTCTTTCCCTGGTTGTAAATTGCACTTTCGCATACGCTCTTGACCCTCCATTTGATTTTCTAACCTCTAGAGCAACAATTGTCCCCAGACCAGTATGTTGCTCCAGAGCTGCCTTGATTATATCTGCAGATACTAAATTGGGGAATCCAAACACGTTTACTGTCATACCCATCCTAAGGAGTTGTTTTAACTGCAACGTCGTTATACAACATATAATCAGCAACCACAATTAAATGAAACCAAATCGTACTTGAAAAATATTAAGCAATTTAAGCAAAAACACTTTCATCAATAAACTTGTTTGTATTAAACAACTCAAGGAAGCTTGTAAAGTTCCAAACCAAACTGGCCCAGTAGATCCCAGGGTCTGGGAGAACTGTACAATCTCCATTCCAAATTTTGACATACCTCTTGACTCATGTTGCCAAATAGGTCATTTTTAAGCCATAAACAAAAAATATGTTTCTTTTATGGAATGATAAGATCTTAGATTTGTTCCTCGCAGTCACCCACCAATTCGAGTGCCCTCAGGGCCACTAGAGGTTGTCTGCCTTTAACTTCAAGGCCATGAGATTAGTAGTCAAGGTGACCACAAGCTGAC